AGAGAGAGAGATAGATAGATAGATAGATAGATAGATAGAGAGAGAGAGAGACAGAGACAGAGACAGAGACAGAGAGAGAGAGAGAGAGAAAGAGAGAGAGCTTCACATAGACAGCTATACAATATACGAAACCAAACAGGGAAGAAGGAACAATCAAATTCAGAAAGAACAGGACAGAAAAATGTTCAAACAAAAGACAAGTCAAAAACTCGACCATTAAACAGCACACCCCGCGGGGAAATCAGCGTGACAAAGACACATATGTGAACACACACACTGCACACAGACGGATGCGTCATTAAGCGTAGCGTTCTTTGTTCATATCCTGCATCTTTTGGCAGCACACGTCATTAAGGCTGGACTTCTTAGATCGGAGGAAAGCCCTTCCGTTGTGGGGCACCACGACTTTCTCAAGGATAGACGGGGAGGAGGGGGGGAAGGGGGGGGGTTAGCTCTCGTGGCCTAGAGGTTAAACTGTTCTCCTCTCATTCAAAGGGCCCGGGTTCGTATCAGGGTAGCTACGGGAAAATTTCCCTCTCTAAAATGATCTCCTTTCACATTCTTTCCTGCTCTCTAGCATGACCAATATTCTGTCGTCTGCCTTCGTCTCCACTTTCTGCCCCCACCCCCTCACCTCCTTTGTCCCCTCCTCTGGGCTCCTGACTCTTTCTGCAGCCTTTCTACTGCTACTCCTTGGCCCCTTCTTACTGCTGTCTTTCAGCCACACCCCTGATCTTCTGGTAGGAAAGATCTACACCTAGCCTCCCGGGAAAAGGGCAAAAATCCCGGAGGTCCCGTGTGAAAGTTGCAAACGTTAAAGATCCCTTGGTGGTCTAAAATCGATAAGAATAGGCTTCGGCCGCCACCCGGGCAACATTCAAAATTTCCTACCAACTAAAAATGTTTGGTGGGTCCCGCGCGCTCATATGACCTTAATCAGTTGCGAACGCCGTAAAACACACAGGCTTCGATTCTGTCTTTCAGGACAAACATGCGCTGAGACGAGTGCGACGTACCAGCAGAAAGGCGGGAGATGCTGGACAAACCTTCCGCCCACTTGGGAGCCGAACTCACTTCATCAGCGTGCGAGTGTTAAAACTGAGTGCAAGAAATCAGCCTTCTTTTCCTCACAATCAAGACAAAGAAAAAGAAGAAAACAGACCCAGTCGCCAGTGACAGAGAGCTGACTGCCACAGAAAACTTTGCTGCAGAAAATAAATGTTTTGAACGACCATAGCCTAAGGCGGTTTACCCTCTTGTCTTGTCAATAACTTCAGACATGAAAGTAAATAGACAGGGGGGTGAGCGAGAGAGAGAGAGAGAGAGAGAGAGAGAGAGAGAGAGAGACAGACAGAGAGAGAGAGACAGAGAGAGAGAGAGACAG